AAGGATACTGCTGGCCTCTGAGTTGGGGGGGGGGTCCAGAGGAGGTTTGTAAGCATGAACCCAGGGACGAAGTGCTTGAATATGAGGAGTGGTTGAGGACCCTGGGTGTGTACTCGATAGAGTTTTGAAGGACGATGGGGGGGATCTGATTGAAAGTTACAGGATACCGAGAGGCCTGGATAGAGTGGGCGTGGAGAAGATATCTCCACCAGTAGAACTGTCCCCTCATGTCGGTGTCAAACCAGTAAATACTGAGCACGTCTCTCATTCAACGTAGAGCAAATTTCCGTCCGAGAAACCACATCTCATCACATCTCATCCACCACACCCTCCCTCCCCCGCACCCCGTCCCCAGTGGCTTTAAAACATTAAGGATTTCTTTGGTATCTGGTGAGTATCGATGTTAAGTATCAAGTCTGTTCTTCAGCAAACAGTAATCAGGAACAGAACTTGACTTTTCCAGCTCATTAAGATTATTATGTTCTTTGCGACTAGAGCGAAATTAATCACACATTGATGCAGAGCGAATCAGAATTCTCTGTGAGTGCGAAGGTAACAGAGAGAGAGAGAGAGAGGTTTGCCTGTTGGTAGAGAAAGAGGTAGATAATTCTTAACAATGTCTGCCTGATTTCCTGTCAGCCTCTTCCCCGCCCACTGCAATTTTCAGGCTTTTGAACGACAATCTCGTCGCTCGCTAATCACTATACTCCGAAGTCCCTCATCTCGTTGATGCTTCAGGCCCGGCCTTTGTGAGCTGGGGGACCCGAAAATCTTTTCCGCTCGCTGGTTGACTTGACTCAGAGGCTCCAACGGGGCCTGGGGTCCACAGTGTACCTGTGCATTTACCAAATGGGCGGTACGGTGGCTCAGTGGTTAGCCCTGCTGCCTCACGGCGCCAGGGACCCGGGTTCCATCCCATCCTCAGGGGACTGTCTATGTGGAGTTTGCACATTCTCCCCGTGTCTGCGTGGGTTTCTTCCGGGTGCTCCGGTTTCCTCCCACAGTCCAAAGATGTGCAGGTTAGGGTGGATTGGCCGTGCTAAATTGTCCCATAGTGCCCAGGGATGTGCAGGTTAGGGTGGATTGGCCGTGCTATATTGCCCCATAGTGCCCAGGGATGTGCAGGTTAGGGTGGATTGGCCGTGCTAAATTGTCCCATAGTGCCCAGGGATGTGCAGGTTAGGGTGGATTGGCCGTGCTAAATTGTCCCATAGTGCCCAGGGATGTGCAGGTTAGGGTGGATTGGCCATGCTAAATTCTCCCATAGCGTCCAGGGATGGGTGAGTTAGCCATGGGGAAGCAGAGGGTCTGTGCGGAATCGATGGGCCGAATGGCCTGCTTCCACACTGTAGGTATTCTGTGAAAAGTAGTGATATAATGTGCAGTACAGCAAGTTCTGGAGAGAGTGCAGAGGTTTACTGGAAATTTGCCAGGGCTGGGGAATTGCAGCTGTGAAGAGAGATTAGAGAGCTTTGGGTTGGAACAGAGAAAGCTGTGGGAGCAACATGATTGTGGTAGACAAAATTGTGAGGGGGTTAGAGATAGAGTAGATAGGAGGAAAGAGAGTTCAAAGACCAAGGCACATAGACTCAAGCCAAGTGGCCGAAGGTTCAGAAGGGACATGGGGATTTTGTTTTTTACACAGATGCTGATGGGTGTCTGGAATTCGCTGCCTGAGTTGGAGGCAGAGACAGAGACCCTAAACCCTTTGATAAAATTACCTGATCTGCACCTTCAGCAACTTTTGGTTTTGTTCCTGATTAACGGCATCCGCAGTTCTTTCAGTTTTTACTCTGCACCTTAAGTGCTGTCAGGACTGAGGGCCGAGTGCGGGAAGATGGGATTAGAAACGGCATCTGGGCGTGTTTGGGTCGGAACGGACATGATGGGCCGAACGGCCCCCTCCTGTGGTTCTAACTTGTAGACGAAAGTGCCCGTCTACCTCCTCTCTCTCTGTCTTTTAAAAGACCCATCTTCCCCCGACACGTTTTAGTTCCCCAACACCTTTTGGTTCTGAAGATGTGAAATATTAACGCTTGTTTCTCTCTCCTGGCATGGTGCTGCCCAGAGCTGCTGAGTTTCTCCAGTGTTCTGTGCTTCCGTCCCACTGCCCAGAGACCGGGACTAACGGAGAGCTAGGAAAGCCGATGGCACCTCCTGGTTCCAACCCTCGATTTTCCCTGAGTACCAGTTGGGAGGCTTTGCGGCTCCCCTTCCCCTTCAAAACATTTGTCTGTCCATCCTGACCATTCACACCCCTCCACCCCCACTTCCCCAGAATGAGTGGGAAGGCCATTCAGCCCCTCTGTCGGCTCCCCCTCTCTGCAACTGGATCCTCGGCTTCCTGTCCCAGGGCATGTACTCAGTACGGAGAGGCGATGACATCTCCTTCGCCATAGCTCTCAGTGCCCAACACACCCCCCTCCCCCCGACTTCTATACTCCTTCTACACCCACAGGTGTGTGGCCAAATCCCACCCCAAATCCATCTGACAATGCTGCCG